CCAGCCTTATGCAGCAGCTGCCGAAGCGCTGCCTGCGAAGACATGCTATCAGGGGCAGGCGCACGTTCCTTGTGAGCCCGCCGAATTCGTTCGATGGCCGACTGCTGCGCCTGGTTCAAGCAACCAGACGGCCACTGCGACTCATCCTTGAAACCACTGAGGAAGTTCAGGGCCCTCACGGAGTCAGTCTCCCTTCGGTGCAACGCCCTCCGGCGCCCCACACGCTGCCTGGACCTCCGCGAAGCCAGATCCCGAAGATCCCCAACAAAACCTTCGTCAACCGCCGGAAGGGGTAGAGGAAAAAGATCCCCGAAGCGGCTGACCGGCTCATCGGAAAATTGATTGGCGCTAAAAAGCTCCGCAGTCTGAGGCAAGGCGCCCTCCCGCCTCGGACCGCCCCCTCTCTCAGGGGGTGCTCTGATTCTTGTCACCTTTTCCGCCGGCCTTGCCTCCCTTGTCGGGCTGCTTGTTCTTGTCCGGCTCCTCATTCCTGCGACCAGCGTGACGCTTTTCTTCTGCTGCCAGCCTGTTTTGCTTGAGGATTTCTGCTTTAGCTGCTTGTCGACGGGCAGCATGCTGAGTGAGGGCGGGATCCACGATCGTCCCGTCGGTGGCTTCCCGCACCCCAAGAATCTCATCGGCCCCTTCGTACGAGGGGGCCTCCGGTCTCCCCTGGTGAGCCATCTCGATGAGAGCACGCCGCCTGTTTAACCCTTCCGCGGATGCAAGGGATGGCAAGTTCAGCTGGTCGTAGCTAGCCATCAGGTGAAGGACACGGCAAATCGATAAGTGCTCGTGGACTGAACGATCCGTAGCCCTAACCCCACTCTTCTTTATCCAAGACTCGTGGTGTTGGATGAAATCCATCCCGCTCCTCCGCAGCTGTCTGACATCCCGATAAACTGTCCTGGGCCCTTGGAGTGGGAAATCATCAAAGTCGACTTCCTCGTACTCGGGCACCGCCTCCGCCAAAGACCTCCATCGTTCTTCGGCCGAATCAAAAAGAATCGGCAGGATGCGAAGATCCCGCTCCTCAGCAAGGCCTCCAGGATCACCTCCGGTCTCCGCCGGAACGCCCTCGCCCGTGGCGGCATTACCTCCTGAATGAGATCCGGGCTCAGTCAGCCCAACCTCCCGTCGTCGAGCTGCCAGCCATTCGGAAAAGACTGCATCATCCACTAGCTCGCCCCGAAGCCAAAGGCCCTCCCGATGGAAGGCGGCGTCACTCGCGCCCAGGATGAGGTCGACACTCTCGTCCGGGGAGATGCGGTCCCCTAACTGGAAGGATCCTCGCGTCTCTGCGCAGCGCCAGCACTGTTTTGGGCCGGCCGGTCCAAAAGGACCCTTGGGCGCCGCCCGTTGAATCGGACCTTTGCCCGTCAGGCGTTTTCGGGACAGCACTTCGCCCAAAGTCTTGGCATCCCCCGATGGCAGCCTCACTGATTGTTCCAGATCTAGCCCAGCCACACCATAGGCCGCCTTGTGTTCGCGGTGGGCCTCCCTCACTTTGGTCAGCAGGGTTTGATCAGTAACGTCATCTCGGAAGCGGTACACAGCTTTTCTCAAATTCGGCAAAGTCTTCACTCCCACAGGGACAAAACGAACCTTAGCTGGCCCATCATCGGACTTACCCCTCATGTCCTCCTCGTAGACATCATCATCGGGGGTCCATATCCAGAAAAATCCCTCTTCGTCCCCCGGCAGGAGTACGTAGCGTTCATGCCACACATCATCATCACTGTAAAAGACCACATATTTACTCCCGATCTCCATCCAGGACTCCTCCTCCGCGCCGGCGTGGCGTTTTCACAGGCACTCCAGACACTGATGAAGACCTTGTACGGCGAAGGGCGCAGGACATCCACAGCCCTCCAATGGAAATCTGCCCCAGAGTGAAGGCTGTCAGCACCTGCCAACTCGAGTCGGATGTCAGTGGAACCTGTAGCTCCTCTTCTCGCGGATCGACCCTGCAACTGCACACGCAGCAAGGCGCAGGAGCTATGGCTGAGGGCCTCTCTTCCAGAACCTTCGAAGAGAGTACCGCTAAAGCTACGAGCACTCTTTCCCAAATCAGAGCCAGAGATGCTTTAGAGTACACAGTCACAGAAACTCGCATCCTCCAGCAATTTCACGCTAAAGCTTACACATCTATCTATCGATC